TGTGTGTGTGTGTTGGTAAGAGGATGGGTGATGGAGGAGGCTGTTGGAGAGTTTAGACAAAGTATGACAGATAAGAACTCTGGATACCTCGGATATGAGAACGATGTGTTTGTGCATTTATGTGCTGTGCAAAAAAAAAAAAAAAAAAAAAAAAAAGCGGGGGAACCCACAAAGGCCAATTGATTGCAGGGGTTTGTGGAGCGGTTGTGTTTGTGTGTGGCTGGGGAGGGGGGGAGGAAGGGTGGGGCAGCTCCCTAATCCCACATATAGACCTCTGACCCCTCAAACATCAGCCCACATGTTTAGAGTTTCACTACAGAAGAAGGAAAACAGATGGGGGACCCGGGGCCCCCTGCTCAGTAATACAGCATCGTGAAGATGAACAACTCCTTATAAATAAAAGGTACTAACTAGCAGGAGAACCCATTTGGCTTCCTGGTAGACCCTTATATACATTTTCTATCTGGAACAATTTCAGAAAGTTCTAACCAAGAACCCAACACAAAAAGTTACAAAGAACCATCTGTAAAAGGGTCTTCAGAGGACCCTTTGACATTCCAAGAGTTTCATCTAGATTGTACAGAGAACCCCTTTATATACACCAATGCTTTCAACAATCCTTGAGGAACTCTTTCTTCCAAAAGGGGTCTTTGGATGAAAAGGGTTGTTAATGGAACCCTTAATCTGACGAGGAACCTTTGAAACCCCCGTTCTTTAAAAAGGGGTTCTCCAGAAGCTAGTGGTTCTGAGTAGGTAACCAGCCCTTCAGGTTGTGTTCTAACCACAAGCTAATGTCTTTCTAAGTAGAACCACTCAATCTAACTTCTCCGTTTTTCCACCTCGTCCTTCATTATTTTGTATTATTCTCGCGATTGGCTCGTGTCTTAATTACTAACTCGTGTTATAAATGCAGAGAAAATCTTATTCTAGCTCTTTGGATCTGCCTTGATTTCCCTTTTAATATTTCAAACATGTAGTGTTTAATAAAACAACTCCATTAATGCCGTACCCCGATGTGTTTCCTGTTCCACTGTGGTTAAAGTATTCTGCGAGGTTTCTACATTTTTGTTAATGAGGCTTTTATGAGTTTTTAGTGTAGTGCTGTTTTCATTAATGGCTTCATAATGTCAGTACTTTTACTGCCTCATGCTGTGCTCACCTCTCCAGCCCACATCCTCGATGACCTCACGTAGCCGTTTCTTTAGCTCTCATTTTAATTCCTTTACGAGTCAGACAGTTGTTCAGCTGTCGGCTCTTCTTCCGTCTCCCACTCGTGGCCGTGTGACCCATTGCTTCAGCAAGCACAGACGAATGAGTCGACTTGTGTGTTTGGAGGGACAGAGCGAACGAGGTGGCCGTGTAACTTGTAAACGGTGGCTGGTGACATCATGTGTGGATGAGATTGCTGGGAGGAGGTCTCGGCCTCTGGCTGTGTACCAACAGCAGAGCTGGCTGAGCTCCACGTCGTCATGTAACGCAGCGCTGCCGTATGTTATTGCTCTAAATCCAAACCTCCAACACCCCCCCCCCCCCCCCCCCCCCCTCCCCCCTCTCTCTCTCTCTCTTTCCTCTGATGATGGGTTGTGTGTTTTGGGGCATATTGGACTTGTCGTGGGAAAGTCTGAGGACCAGATGGGGGAGCGAGGGGAAGCCGGGGATTTTAGAGGCTGGGAAATACATCGTCGACAAAAATATAAATCAATTTCTCTCCTGCTTTTTTGAACTGCGATCCATCAGGCTACAGACAGACACATCAGAACTGGTAAATCACCACAAGAGACCAGGAGTTCAGAGACCCACACAGCGTCCACAACTATCAAAAGACGCTTCAGGCAGGATGACAGCCTGCATCTGAACTTTACGCTCTCATGGGCTCTCGTTCGTGCTCCTCATCTGATGTGTGCATGAGAAGTCTAGTGCACTCCAAATGTACGAGCACATCATTACGACGGATTCTCCCGGCTTGTGTTCATTTCGTGTGAGCGTAAAGCCTCAGGAAAGATAAACTGTGATTATCTGACTTCCTGCGATTCCTTCGTCTAAGACATTATATATTGGAGATGTCACGATAACATTTTTCCTTCCGGGAAACCGATTGTGAACTTGCGTATCGGTCGATACCAAGTACCGATGTCACATCAGCGCATTAAAAACATGCATTTGTATAAATTATTATAATCTTTAAATGGCTGTATTCAACGAAGGGTGTGATATGATTGCCATCATTGCTGTCTGGTCTGGTCCAGGTTAAACCTTTTATAAAACATACAGCAAACACATACGGAGATACACACACACACACACACACACACACACACACACACACACACACACACGCACAGCCAGTTTATTAGGTACACCTAGCTACAACTAAGTCAGTTCTGCAACAAATCCCACCTTCATGAAGGTTATAATGATCCGTTTTTGTTGAAACTCTTTTAGATAAACTTTTGTAAGTATAATAAATACTGTATGACAATGACATACAGCCCAAACCTGCACTCAGCCAATTTTCCATGGAAACAGTTTATACTAATTGTTTATCAGTCGGTTTATTAAGCAGTTTGTTTTGGCTCGGATGACAAAATGATGCACGCGTTGTACATACAGAGTAACCCGAGGACACCAGTGAGACACGCGGCTGTCTTTCTGTGCCAACAACCGGCGTCTTTTATGCCGTTTAACCAACGAGAACAAACACATGTTTCCTGTCTAGCAGCAATGTAAGCAGCCGTCTAGCTTAACGAGTTCTCTGGTGATTTCCTCCCCGACGACATGCAGAAGAGGATCATGTCTCCTACTCGGGAGCAGAGCTGATCACTATTAATGGTCAACGTCTAAACAGTAAAAGCAATGTAAACAGAAAGCCAGCACCCTCGCCACACAGACACACACACACACACCTCAAGACTGAGTGAGTGTGTGTGTGTGTGTGTGTGTGTGAGAGAATAATTAAAGCAAAAATCAACCCAACCTGAAGTAGTTGTGGGCTTTATCGAGGTGCGCTACAGATGAACCCTGCTTGTCCTCGGACAATAACAGCCATGAAAATAAATGAAACCACAGCCCAGACAGGCGCAGAGAGACGGACAGCGGGGGGGTGGGGACAATTAAAAAGTCACTGTTATGCGTCTCCTGACTATTAATAACTATTAGCAGGGTGAGGACCCAGCAAAGCACTTTGGAAGACTTATGAAGCTCATACTGTTGCCAAAATATAAGACAGGTGGAGTTAAACTGGCTGCAAGTCCTGTAGTCCACATGGATGTAATGGAATACGAGTTTGTCTGTAGGGCTGAGCCAACAGGACATTTTATAAATCCTACTCATATTAGGGAGAAAATGACTTTCAATTTCTCTTCTTCGCTGCGCTGCTTACAGCCGATGGCTTCCATACACATCTGCAATCTGTTGCTTAAGTGATTTAGCTGTAACCGAAAGACCTGGAGAGGAAAGAGGAGAAGGAATACAAAACAGAGAGAAAGCAAAGAGAAAGGAAAGTATTCAAAAAATTGGAAGGAAGGGAAAGTAAGGAGGAGGAGGAGGGTTAAACAGAGAGGAAAGTAATTAAATGGAAAGGAACAGGCAGAGAGAAGAGTGCAGATTTGTCAAGATTAAAAAAAGGGAATGAGAGTATTTCATTTAAGAGAGATATGTTAAAGTTATGTTCATGGTACCTGGCCAGGAAGGGAAAAGAGACCACTTTCTATCATCATTAGTCTCATCATCTTCAATCCACTGCTGTTAAAGCTTTGCTCTTTGTTTCACTCCTTGTTCTCTTCCCTTGTTCCGTCTCTGCAGTATCTGTATACACAGCTTAGTCCTCCTCCAGGTTCTGATTGTTCACAACATTTCTCTGAAGCACCTCACAATGCATTCCCAGCTGAATAACAGGAACCACTGCTCATTCTAGACAAGGCACACTACTCCAGACATGCAGTACTAGAACACGTGAGCTTAAGGAAAACTACACGTCAAATGGAAATAAAATGGTACACGCACTGAACTTCGTAAAAAATGCACATACACACACACACACACACACACACACACACACACACACACACACACATACACATACACACACACATACATACATACATACATACATACATACATACATACATACATACATACATAGCGAAATAGTTCCATTGTGAGCTAAAACCAGAAGTGCTGGGATGATATGCTGACATCTACCGATTCGACACAATCATGATACGTGGGTGCCAATTCAATTTAATTCAAAAAGTATTAAGTATTGCAACTCCACAGGTATTAAGTTTCGACAGTATGAATTTATTGTGATTTCGGTTTACTTCATTAACACTAGAGCATGGCAAAAAGTAGATTTTCTTTTGCGTCCGTTTGTAGTCGGAGATGTCCTGAACTTAAATGTATTAGTCATTGTTAGGAATTATTATAATTACTTAATTTTCCAGCTACCCAACATTAAAGAATAAAGACTTTCTCCTCTCAATTTAGTGGCATTTTCTTTTTCTTCTTTTATACTTCCAATGAACACAATCCAATGAATCTAATCTCCATGTATTTTGTACATACCCTTTGTAAACACCTTATTTTCAAACGTTACACTCATTTCCTTCTTCCGCTTACTTCACTAGCTCTTCCAGTCAGCTGCGTTCTCTTTATGAATCAATAGTCAGCTCAATCTGGGCATTTTGAATGCGTTTAACATAACGGGGGGAATTACAGCTACGGCGCTGGTGGATTTAACCGCAGAGATGCGAGTGACATGAGATGCTTTGTTTTTGTTGAAACAGATATGAAGTCACGTTAGTCATAGACTAGAACAATAAAAGTGGTAACTTTCTTCTACCTCAGCACAGACTGAAATGAAGCAATTGCAATCGATTCAGGTATTTAAAAAAAATTCCAATCTACAAAAACAATGTATCCGCGTACTGACTAACTCACATTCACGTGCATTAAGTTTTACTCCCAGAGGTGAGCACTTTATGTTTTCTTCCTGGTCTCCAAGCACTTCAGCAGAGTTTTGTTTCTGCTCGTTGGGGTAGAAAAAAAGAAAGAAGCCGCACTGCATGTTCTGAGGAAATGCTGTAAACCTTGTACCTTCAAAAACACACCGGTGACCTTTCCACGTTCCCTGGAATGTCTTTGATATGTTGTGGTTCCATGAAAGAGACTAGGCCCCTCGTACCCAGAACCACCACCCAAGAGAAAATCAGACTCCGAAAGACAGGAAAGAAAGGGAAGGAGAATGGGGGGAAAAGAAGAAGAAAGAGATGGGAAATGAAGGAGGTGACAGCTGATGGATGATCTATAATGTAATGTGAGCTGTTCATGCTAAGGGGGCATGTGGATGATGCCAAATATGGAGACTTTATGGAGCTCCCAGCAACAGTAGAAAGCCAGTCATAGCGACACTGCTGATGCTGCTGTTAAAGTCATTAGCGGCTCTAATCAGGTCAGCGAGGATACAGTACCTGGGTACGCTGTCAGACACATTCTGCTGCTGGAAAAAACACAACCATGAAAATGCATGGCGTCTCTGGATAGTCATGCACACACAGCATTCTATCATACAGATGGACACGGGAGATTGCGCGTACCAGCGAGATCTGCAGTAACTGTAATCCTGTCTCCTCCCGACTTTGTTCCAAGTGACAGAATTGCCAGAATTCCTGAAGAACCACAATAGCGTCATATAGGAGAGACACGGGGCCCCGGGTTTCAGGGTGGAGGTAGGACTTAATGATGTGGCATTAAGTAAAGAGTGGCTCAAGAGTGATGGAGCGGATTAGGAGGGCTAAACCGACTCGGCCTTCCGCAGGACCAGGCCAGGGTGTTAAATGGAGCAGTGTGTGCGTCTGTGTAAGTGTTTTTGTGCTTGTGCATTGATGAGAAACAGAACCAGAATCAGCAGGAGTAAGGAGGAGGCGAGGGAGTACCAGCAGATTAGAAAGGGCAGAAGACAACTTGTCTCACACAGTTTTCCTCACTTTCGTCTCTCACCCCTGTAGAGGCGGCCTGTTTGTGAAATCTTTCAAGTGAAACACAAGTACCACCTCCTACTGAACATTCCTGTTGAACGTATGGAGCCACGTGGAGCAGCGGGCGCTCAGTGGTGAGCATATTTAACCGGTCTCACAGGAAGCTGCATCGGAATTAAGGGTCAACGTGCTTTACTGGGAGGCACCCTACTGTGCTCGTATGGGACAGTAGGGTCAGATCTCTGGGCAGGAAGGGAGGTCTTGAACCCTCTTAGAGACCCTTTAACCAAATACTAAGAACACAAATCAGGAGCCAAGAGTTCCTTAAGTGTTTTGACTTGCATATCCGTTGCATCCAGACAAGTGTGAAGATAATCTTGCACGTGGACAGTGTTGCTGGAAAGAAGATGCAGAGAGGTAGAAAAACCATAACAAAAGCAGTGAAGAGAGAGTATTTCATATAGTGTCTAATTGCATTGAAACAATAAGCAAATTATATCAAACATAAAAGGACTATTCTCATCCTTATCCTGAGATTGATTCTAGTGACAACCCCTGTTTGAAAGACTTAATGACCTACATTAGCCTGTGTCAGAACAAATGTACGATATACGTCCCAGACACAAAAACTGAACTAGGTACCTGGAAAAAAGCCCATTCAGGTACATACTATGCAAGACAAGATGGTGGAAATATATGAAAAAATAATCTTCATCCCCAAAGTAAAGAAGACGACGAAAGACTCAGGAAAGGTACCACAGATAAAGCATAGCCAGCAGCCACATGGCAGACCTCTTTAATAGGAGAGAAACCAACAGGACCTCAGAAAAATGGGGTGTCTGTCAGCAGGGGAACCAACTGAGACAGAAAGCAGACCTCGTCCTGAACAGCAAATGTCTTTCAATCTTTCCACACAAACAACTCTTAGTGAACACTTTCCGAAACAATTACTGATTGTCTGTGAATATTTGAAAAGGTGTGAAATAGATTTCCAGATAGTTCCTCTGCTCTGGAACAGCATACAATCAACACCCCTGCGGTTAACATTACTTCAGAGTCCCAAGTCTCAAGATCTTGTGTTCTTGCAGGGGGGCCTGGGGGGACTTGGAGGGAGCACCAGCAGCTGTCCATCGATCCATCTAACCAGCCAGCAGCAATGCAGGGGCTGACGTGGAGCCTGTGTGCCCTGCTATGCCTCTCCCTCTGGGAGGAAAGTCACTGCAGGAGCTCCAGGGAAGCCCGGAGGACCAAAGGGCCTTCTCTCATCAGGAGTAAAAGAGCCCCCATCGACCCCGATGACAAAAAGTGTTCCTACACCTTCCTTGTACCAGAGCAGAAAATCACAGGTTGGAAGGATAACTTATTTTTGCAATACAGTTTCAGATATTTATCGTATGGCTGTCTTCATTTAAGTATCCTCTGCTTTTCTCAAATCTAAATTGCCTCTTGGTAACCCCCTAAGTATATTGATATCTGTCATCAGGTCCAATCTGTGCAAGCACCACAGGCCCAGAGCCAGACAAGGACAGAGTGACCCGTATAGACATTGCAGATGTGCGGGAGGTGCTCAACAAACAGCGGCGTGAGATTGAGACGCTGCAGCTGGTGGTGGATGTGGATGGTAACTTGGTGAATGAGATGAAGCTGCTGCGGAAAGAGAGCAGGAACATGAACTCCAGGGTGACCCAACTCTACATGCAGCTGCTGCATGAGATCATCAGGAAGAGAGACAACTCTCTGGAGCTGGCCCAGCTGGAGAACCGCGTCCTCAACGTGACCTCGGAGATGATGCGACTGGCTTCAAGGTTCAAGGAGCTGGCGGCCCGGTTTTCCACAATGGCCGCGGTGGTCAACAACCAGTCCGTTCTCATCTCGGCACTGGAGGAGCAGTGTCTGAGGACAGTGGAGCGCGGTGAGCTGCCCGTAGTTCCCCCGCTGGTACAGGTGGTACCGGAGCATCTACCAGTTAACAATCGCTTCACCAACGAGATACAGAGGGACCATAACAACCGGGCCTTTGCCAGAGGACCGCGCATGGAATCCCCTACTGCAAGCCCATTTGGGATCAACCCTCCACCACCACAGGGAACACTTACCGCCGATGGTATGTACCAATTTTAAAGTGGCAGGGGATGTTGAAGAAATAAGTGACCGATCACTTAGGTAATTGTACTTCAGCGTTTGTGTGTGCAAATAATTGGGAAAATTGCTAAGGACTGCAATTAAGAAAGTAATTTCTCGCAACAGTTGGTATTGCTGAGGCACAGCGGGTTGATTCTTGGCACGGTAACAAGGCAGTGAAATCATACATTCCTACAATTCCCACTTGGCCGTCTGTATTGGCAGCACGGCTCTGAGCATATGCACCAAATTAGTGGGAGGTGGATTACGCCTCTCTGAACAGCATTAAAAAAAGACTTTAGAGAACGGGGATATATATCTACTGCAAGGCTTTAGTGAGACTTACATTAAGTCTATGGAAGACGTAAAGGTAAACACAAGAAGAGCACACATCTGATGGTAGTCCATTCAGTCTCAGGCCGCTAGACTAAGCTATCAAATCAAGTAAGTGAGGCTACGTTGCACGTTTGTCACGGAGATTGACGGATTCTGAAATCTGAGATCATCTCCAATGTGAAACCAATTTGCAAAGTTAAAACGCTACTTGGAATTGACGCCGTTGTATTTTGACTGGCGAATAGACTGTGGCGGGGAATGTTGACAGACGGTATACAAGCAGATGGATGAAATCATTCATCACATCCCTCAGACAAAGAGGGGAATCAAATGTTTGAATACTGACAGAGGAGTTCCTTAGTAGGGTGACATAATTTAAAGCGCTGGTTAAATCCAACACTTTAAAGTCTCCAGATAAAGCCATCAAATCAATATGCCAGACTATATAAAATACTTCTTATATTATGGCATTATTAATGAAACATCAGCTTTCTGTTCCTGCCATGCCATTACAAAGAGGATATATCTTTTATAGTATTTCAACAATACTGTTACTAGTATTGGCAAGAATCTGGCGATAGGATACATGTCAAGATACAGGGGGTTGGGATTCAACATATTGCGATTTTTAAAATCTATACCGAGGGAAAACTGTCATAGCATAAAGAACACACCACCACAAACGGAAAATCTGAGTAAAATGTTTACTTTTTAATGCAATCAGAACAGATGCATCTATCATAGTCCCTGTAACATCCAGCGTCATAGCGCTACATTGAGAGGGGACATGCACAGAGGGCGCATCTCATGAAATCAAGGATTGGCCGGATATAAACTTTGAATGTAAACTAGTTATTAAAAATTGATACTGTTTTTGAGAATCAATACAGTATCACAAAGCATTAAATAGCAATACTTAATATTTTCTTACACCTCTACTTTAAAGTAATAAAAAGTGTATATTCAATACCAGCTTGCAACACCTTTGATTGGCCTTTCAAGTTCACTGAGGTAAGGGAGGTAAAATGGCACGGATGACACGCAGATGACAGAAAAGGGCAGAGTGTTGAAGCAATGCCGTTCAAGTGTAACTTTAGCAATTTAATAGTCAATTATAGCTCATCAGAACCGAGAGCTCCTATGTAATACTCCTGCAGCTCCACAGGCCTCAGCCACATCATGGATGACATGGTAAGCATTAAGCTGCTGCTCACACAAACAGAGCAGTGTTTCAGCCTTGGACACAAAAAAACAAACAAAAAAAAAAAAAACAGGCTCTGGCAATCTGGACACCCTTGATTTATCTACAACCAAGCAGAACAACGGAAAGCCAGGGATGGATCGCATTTACTTTGGTGGCCGACATCATCCTTCACCGGTTCATTTTCAGGAAAAGAAAAACAAATCCCCCTGAAATATTTCCACCTCGTCTCCATAAAACATATCACCAAATCCCTAGTGACACTGGGTACTTCTTTGTGATGAGATTTAGTATACATGGATGAATGTAGGCAGAAGGTCAACCGAAATACAAGTCACCAAGTACCGCTAATAGGTTCTCTTCCATGCAGGTTCCCTACTACTGTATATACACATTGCCTGACAGTTTGGTCTCGCCGAGCCCTTTTTAAACTACTATGACTTGTTGACTGACATTATTTTTAAACTCAACCCCTCAAAGCTCCATTTAAAGAAACTAAACTAAAGTGTCAGAGAACCCCTCACCGACAGGTCTGATGAAGACGTATCATTACTAGAAAAATACAAGCTTGTGCTGGAGAGTTTTAGGTATCTGTACTGGGGCAATACACTGGGTCCCTATGTGCTCCTACACTCAGCTGAGAAAACCATCTTCCACGGGCCTTTAGGCCCTGGAGGCCCCCGTACAATGCCGGTGTTCATACATATTCACACAGGGGAAAACAGAGGAAATATGCTGGGTTTAGGTTCAGCTGCATCAGCTTTGGGTGCAGTGCAACCACACGGCTTTATTTCAAAGGCTACATCCAGGTGAATATTCATTTAACAATACAAGTGTGCACATGTATGTTTGTGTTACTTTGGAAAGTTGGGATGGTTTGAGCAAAAGGAGCAATTTTCCAAAGAATGTGGCCGCATTGGTACATCCACTCAGACCCGACTCTCGCTCCCCTTCTCTCTCTTTGTCTGCCGTCTAGAGCGCCTGGATTGATGATGATGACTTTTGCATATGCGATAAAAAAAAGAAGCCATCTTGGTCAATTGAAGGCGTAGCACGGTATATTTGTTCAGGGGGATAAAACTGACTATAATTTAGGAAATGGATGGTTTTAGTACAAATTAAGAGGCTGTAACAGAATATATGGATATAGCATCGATAAGGCCATTAAGTTATATGGTCATTTCTAGCTTTTTACTGGCCGGTATAAATCATTTCAACATGTTTCCCCAAGGGCTAAACGTTATCAACTCCCAAACCCAAGATGCTGAGAAAACGGAGGAACATTAAGGATATTCTCAACATATGGATTGTGGAAAATGACAATAGGCATTTCTTTACAAATCAGACCATCAAACATATACAGTATTTTTGTCCTCCTCTGTTCTTCCCGACCACAGGTCCCTTCAAAGACTGTTACCAGGTGCGACAGGCCGGCCACACCACCAGTGGGATGTACCTGCTTAAGACCAATGTCAGTGATCGGTTGATCCAAGCCTGGTGTGAACACGGCCTCGACAATGGAGGATGGACCGTGTTGCAAAGGAGGAGAGACGGCTCGGTTAACTTCTTCCGGAACTGGGAGAACTACAAGGTAAGCTGAGGGGACAATTAGGGCGTCCCAACATTTTCATCTGATTCTTTTGCTGAAAAATAAAAAAAAATATCTCCAAGCATGACAGAGAACTGTGTTCACAGCTTTTCCCTTCCTAATTCCTTAGTGACCCAGTCTCAGTGGTTCATTTTGGGGCCGCTAAGCAAGCACTTGCTCCATCAATGTAAACAGCTTAGCGGTGGATTTCCTCACACCGAAATCACAGCCAAGAGCTGGAGCTGGGGAACCTACATACAAATCTACGCAATCGGAGCGTCATGGTAGGCTGAGAGGGAAATACAGCTCAACCCCCACTGGAGAAGATCCGTTTTTTCTCCCCTCATGCGTCAGCCGTGTGATCGAGATGTGATCCATGATCTAGCTGAGCAAGAACTAAAATAAATTACACTGATACGCCGCTGAATAAAAATGTCTGGTCTCCCAGTTTTCTCTGCAACAAAAACGAAATAAAAAAAAATATATGGTGCGGGTAAGAGTTTTCCTCTCGGTCGTAAGATTATATTTCGAAATCAAATACTTGCTGTTTGGATCAGGAACAGACATGTGTCTCTGCAGCTCCGCGTTCAATGTATTCAAATATCCATCAAACTGCAGCCAAATCACCATTGACTCTGCCATTCAACTAATTCGCCGAAAGTGAGAAACTCCAGTTTAAAGCCGTAACACATTATCATCTCAACGGGAAGCAGATTTGATTTGATTGTACTTGATTGCCGGCACCAGACTCTTTAAAGTCAGCACTCTGATAGGAAGTCGTGTTAACCTCGCTCTGCTTTACCGTTTGTGTTTCTTGGACACCGATTGGCGTCCAGCGACCACAGAATAAAAAGAGATCCGTTCTTCCAGCAGTTGGCTCACGCACAGTGTCAGCTAACTCAATTTAATACTGCTCTTTGTCGGCCAGCGCTGCATCGCAATGATATTTTTAACATGAACCACAACCTTGAACATATGGCGCTTTGTCCCCCTACAGAAAGGCTTTGGGAACATAGACGGTGAACACTGGCTCGGGCTGGACAACATTTACAACCTGGGGAAACAGGGTGACTACAAGCTGATGATAGAGCTGGAGGACTGGACGGGGAAGAAGGTGTACGCCGAGTACAGCAGCTTCCACCTGGAGTCGGAGAGCGAGGGTTATCGGCTGAGGCTTGGCACCTACCAGGGAAACGCCGGGGACTCGTTCAGCAGCCACAACGGCAAACAGTTCACCACGCTTGATCGGGACAAGGACGCATTTTCTGGTGAGGGGGGGGGGGGGGATGAGTTTTAAATGCATTTTGAGTTCTAATAATAGAAGGATATAGGCCTGCGTTTGGTGATGGGCTGATTAATTACTCAGCAGATAAATATATGGACATGACCTCGATTATTTTTAAGTTAACTTATCGTACTACACGACCTTGATCCTTTTTACTTTATCGACTTATTGTACGATATATTGAAAGGACTTGGACATTGTGCAGACATTGCACATTTTGTTTGCACATTTTGTTTAACAGAGCCTAAGAATCCATTTTATTTATTTAGGATATTTTAACATTTTTCGCATTCCAATTCCTGAATATTCCTAAGAATTAAGAGTTCATTGCTCTTTGAAAGGGTGTGATCATATCACTATATTCTATATAAAAGAGTCTGAAAATTGTTTTATATCATCCAATAAGAGTTATCTTAACAGGCCTCGTAGTATAGCAACACAACTGGAGGTAAGCTCCTTTGTCTGTCCATCACACTTTCGATGTCTGTCCATCACACTTTCAATGTCTGTCCATCACACTTTCAATG